TCTTTGGAACCTGCAGGAGGAAGTCTTTGGAACCTGCAGGAGGAAGTATTTAGAACCTGCAGGAGGAAGTATTTAGAACCTGCAGGAGGAATTATTTGGAACCTGTAGGAGGAAGTCTTTAGAACCTGCAGGAGGAAGTCTTTAGAACCTGCAGGAGGAAATCCTTAGAACCTGCAGGAGGAAGTCTTTAGAACCTGCAGGAGGAAGTCTTTAGAACCTGCAGGAGAAAGTCCTTAGAACATGCAGGAGAAAGTCTTTAGAACCTGCAGGATGAAGTCTTTAGAACCTGCAGGATGAAGTCTTTAGAACCTGCAGGATGAAGTCCTTAGAACCTGCAGGAGGAAGGCTTTAGAACCTGCAGGAGGAAGTCCTTAGAACCTGCAGGAGGAAGTCCTTAGAACCTGCTGGAGGAAGTCTTTAGAACCTGCAGGAGGAAGTCCTTAGAACCTGCAGGAGGAAGTCTTTAGAACCTGCAGGAGGAAGTCCTTAGAACCTGCTGGAGGAAGTCTTTAGAACCTGCAGGAGGAAGTCCTTAGAACCTGCAGGAGGAAGTATTTAGAACCTGCAGGAGGAAGTCTTTAGAACCTGCTTGTTTCACAGATCGGAGCCGAACTGTGTCAGCGTCGGCCTCGTGCTTCATTCTGCACCAAAGCACCAAAGGAATGTTTAAACAGCAGCTTCCCAAACTCACGCTGACCGGGTCGCACTGAGCTCTTTGATCAGGCTCTTCTACGTGGAGGGTGACCTTTGACCTCTGGCTGGATACATAAAGCAGCTCGGTTCCTCGGGGTTCTGTTGACGGTGGAGCAGTTTGTTTCCTGTCCGTCGTAGAGGAGCTGATGTCCTGCAGGGTTCGAGTCAGCGTGAGGAGAGGGACGAGCTTTCTGCGTCAAAATACAACGATTAAACGGCCAAACAGTCGCTGAAGGACCGATCGGACCTGCTGCCTTTCAGGCCCGAGTTCTCCACCAGGATGAGACCTCCGGGGGCTTGCAGGAGGGGTGCTACAGTCCTCACGGAGCACACAATTATATATTTGTTTAATCTCTCAACAACGTGAACAACATTTAGGAGAAGGGACAAAAGCTGACCAATTTTTAGCTCAATATCTGTGAAGAGCAGTTGTAGCCGTCTTAAATCAGCTAAAAGAGCTGTGTGAGCCGCAGAGGAAGCCCAGTGGACCTGTCCAGAACCTGCAGGCAGCGCTGACTCCGCACCATGTTGTTGGTGCGACGTGGCGTGTGCGACTCGCCGCAGCTAACGGCGGATGTGGCCGTTTTGTTTCTTTGGCTGAACTTGTGCTGTCAACCCTTTGACTCCTCCGCTCCTCCGCTGCCAGAACCTCCAGCGTTCTGCTCGGCTCGGAGCGGGAACGCTGATCTGGCAGAACAACGGAGAACAGAAGCCAGCGCAGCGTTCCTCTCCTCTGCGTGAACATCTGAGATCCTTCTGTGCAAAAAGAAAAAGCGTCTATAACAATAATTAACTGGAGGAGTTGCACTCTCTGAGAAAATACAGTGCGAATGCTTATTGCTGAAGAACCTGCTGAAAAACAGCTGAAATGAGCTAAAAACAGCTGAAATTAGCTAAAAACAGCTGAAATGTAGCTGAGATGGAAGAATAAGCCTAAAGTAGTAGAAGAAATCAGAAATAACACATATTTGCTGAATTAGGTTTAAATGAACAGAAATTAGCACAATTTTTTTTTTTTAGCTAAAATAAGCTGAAATAAGCAAAAATAGCAGAAAAGTAGCTGAAAAGACAGAAAGAAGTTTAAACTACCAGAAGGAAGCAGAAAGAGCTGAAATGAGCTCAACAAATGTGGAATTAGGTTGAAAAATCTAAAATCACCATAAAAACAGCTAAATAGTGGCTGAAAAAGCTGAAACTAGCAGAAAAAAACCTGAAAGGAGCATAAAAAAGTTAATTAGGCTGAAAGTAGCAGAAATTACCACAAAAACTTGAATTTATATGAAAACAGCTAAAACGAGCTCAAAGGGTAGCTGAAAAGGCAGAACGAGCTTAAAATAGCATAAGAACATGTTTGCTCAGTTAGACTGAAAGAAGCAAGAATGAGCACAAAAAAGTGGAAACATCTAAAAAAACAAAACAAACTGAAATTAGCAACAGCAACAAAATAAAACAGCTGAACAGTAGCTAAAAAGGCAAAAGAAGCTGAAGTTACAAGAAGGAAGTGGAGAGAGCATGTTTTTACTGAATTAGGCTGAAAAAGTTTAAATGAGTGCCAAAAATGTGGACTTAACTGAAAAAGCTTAAATTAGCATAAAAATGGCTATATAGTAGCTGAAATAGAAGAAAAAGCTGAAACTTGCAAATAAGCTGAAAGGAGCATAATAAACTGAATTTAGTAGAAAGACGTTAGAAGAAGTACACAAATGTTGTAGTTAGCAGAAAGAACCTGAAAGGAGCACAAAACAGCTGAAAGTAGCTGAAAAAAGTTAAATTTGCAGAAAGAAGCTGAAGCAGAACAAAATGTGAAAGGAGCAGTAAAAGGTTGTAAACGGATCTAAAGATTTGAAGGATGTAAAATGAGCTCAGTTCTTTTTCTTGGAGATAAAAATGGCAGAAAAGGCTAAATATTTCAAACAGCTAAAGTTGCACCAACACCAAAAGTCAGAGCAGGATTGTCCTGAAAGAGCTGAAGGTTTTGATTCATGGTTTGTTGAAAACTGCATGATAAGAAAGAAGCTGAAGAACGCACAGAAGAAAACAGGACGACCGCTTCAGAAGCGTTCTCACTGTTGGTGGTTGAACATCTGCCAGCAGCTCAGTAAAATGTTGGTGCAGAGACGTTGAGCGTTTTAAGGTCACACCGTTTTACTGCTCTCACTGGCTCTAATTAATACGTTGTTTTTCACGAGGATACCGACGCTGTCAATATTACACAACTTCAAAAAGACACTTTAAGCGAGTTCAGCTGTTTTTTAATCAAGTTCTGATGATAGATCAATAAAAAAACCAATAAAATGAACTTTGATATGTTGTTCACCCCAAACACTAAAGGTGCTCTGAACTACCAGTTTCACATCGTCTAATAACGTCAAAGCTTTTTTGTTTTTCCTTAAAAGTCTTTATGTTTTTATGACAACGTTGAACTGTTTGACAGTGTTCATGCACGTTGTCGTGTTTTGAAAGTCTTCAAACTGTCAACAAAAACAACAATGAAGTGGCTCTTACCTGAATGTTGAAATAATTCTTCCGACATGTTTAGCTGTGGGCAGCACGGTGGCTCAGTTGGTACAGCTGCCACCTCTCAGCGAGCAGGTCGCCCTGGTTCAAACCCCGTCCAGGTCCTTTCTGGGTGGA